ATATATATATATATATATATATATATATATATATATATATATTTATTTATTTATTTTATTTTATTTTTTTTGCGGACCTCCAAGCACTGGCTTGCGGACTGGTCTGGAGACCCCCGTTTGAGAACCACTGGTTTAATCTACCAGTTGTCCTCCAAAAAAAAACTAGTTTGCCATTCCACTAATTGGCTAACTTTTAATAAAAATTATTTATCAATCAAAAGCAGAACAATTAGTGTTTATAGTATCTTAATTGTTCAAGTTCAAGTTTATTTATCGTTATTCTCATCACATGTGGTACATGAGGTGGAACAAAATTGTGTACACACGGTCCCAGTTACACCCAAAAATCATGATAAAGAATAAAAAGAAACAGTATACAAGGATCTAAGATATACGCTAAACACTAATGTAAAATAATACGGTATATTAAACAGCAGCCCGAACATGAGTCTGTAGTGAGTAGATGGGTATGAATACAGCAGCTTAAATTCAAGGTTCATTTGTCATACACGTCACATGTGGTGCAGTGAAATTGTGTACACGGGGTCCCAGTTACATCCAACAAAGAAAAACAGTAATAAGATCTAAAATATGAACTAAGAAAAACGTTAAACTAAAAATACACTAAACACTAATAGTACAAAAACAATATGCCAAACAGCAACACCGACATGAGTCTGTGTGAGCAGATGAGCACGAATGAACTCAGCAACATGAAACAGATCAGCAGCATGAAACAGACCAGCAGCAGCATGAAACAGATCAGCAGCAGCATGAAACAGATCAGTAGCAGCATGAAACGGATCAGCAGCAACATGAAACAGATCAGCAGCAGCATGAAACAGACCAGCAGCAGCATGAAATAGATCAGCAGCAACATGAAACAGATCAGCAGTAACATGAAACAGATCAGCAGAATGATGTGATTTTTTTTTCACAGTGATTATTCTGGTTAGAGATTCATGAGTCGAACAGCCTCAGGGTAGAAGCTGTTCCTCAGTCTAGTGTTTCTGCACTTAACCTCCTTCCTGAGGGGAGCAGGGCAAAAAGTGTGTGTGCTGGGTGAGTGGGGTCTTTCGTGATGCAGGTAACCGTCTTCCTGCATCTGGAGGTGTAGGTTACTTTACCTTAAAGGTAAGGGAGCAGCGGCAATTGTGAGCGTTTATGTTGGTAAGACAGCTTAAGTCTTCATTTTCCCGGATTTCATGGAATATTTCCGAGCACCAAAATAAAAAAAAAAAAACAGGTCTGTACCTGTTTTGACAGATCAAAGACACAGAACAATATTCCTGTGGGGAAAGTGAAAGTAAAATGCTTTCAGGCTGTACTGCATTCTCACACACTGAGACGGCATTGGGTGCAGAATTAAACACTCTGCTTTTTTATTTTAAGGTGGATTTAATTTTCGCACATCATTTGTTTGACTCCTGCAGTAAAACCAAGCTGCAGCGGTGCTACACACAGTTAGAACCTAAAAGGAGCAGAAAAACGCCTTGTGTGTGGACGTATGGATTATTTTTTTTGTGTGATAAAACCCTAAGAAGTAGAAAACTTCTTAGTAATGTGAAATCTTCAGATGACTATCGAGAGGAAATTAAGCAACACAAAAGCACCGAGCGCAGAGCTAACTGAGTCATCGCACGAAGTGCTGATTCTTCATTTCAAGGATTTCATTTTGACAGTTCTGATGGTTTAAGTCATCCGGACTTCAGGTTAAAGGTTTTCATCTGGCTTTTTAAAGGACTGGAACAACTCCACCACCCACCTCCACACAAGGACACACTCCTCAGTTCCCCGTGCTTCAATTTCTATGAAGCAAAAGAGGGGAGTTTCTATTCAAACGCCCTCCTGATCCAACACCCGAACCAACCCGAGTGACGTCACCGAGAGGACGGACTGCACATAAAAAGGAAGAACGGTTCTTTGGAAGCGCAGAGATATAAATACCGAGGCCACTGCTTCCACCTTCAGGAGTGGTAATGAGGAAGTACTTTTTCGTCCCAAAAAAATAAAACAAAAAAAAAATCCCAGAAAGCTGCAGTTTGTTCGTGCTGTGAAACTCACCTGGTACAGATTGTTCTGGATGTCCAGGACTTCTTTAGGGAAGAGATGTATCAACTCCAGAGCGATTAATATATTCTCGTGGATGATTGCAAGGTGCAGAATTCTACAGAGAGAAAACGTGTTTGCGTTAATAACAGCCCTGCAGGTTGACTTATTCTAATCAAAAAACTTCGGCGTGGGTAGAGAAAAGTCAGCACTTGGACAAAAGTGTTGCAACACAATTTTCCTCAGTACTCATCTCAAGAGAGCACCTCAAACTGTAACTTTTAGTGGGCTGCATGGCAAAACCGAGTGTCTGGTCTGTTGTGCAATATAATAAGAAAAAAAAGAGAATTTTGTGCACAAGTTAGATTAAAGGGGATGTTAAAATCACCTTTAAGCAGATATTGTGGAAGAAAATAGCTGAAGCGCAAAGCCAAGCAAAACAAACACACAAACCTCAAAAGGCTGTGGGGGGAAGTTGTAGCAAACAAAAGCATGCTCAAAGCAGGAAATGGAACAGAGCACTGCTGCTTAATTTAGACCGACACATCGGCGGCCTCGTCCGAGAAAGGTTTTCAGCGTATTCAAATCAGTGTATGACCTCAGGTGGTGAAGATTCTCCGACGTCTGCAAATTTAGGATTGATAAAAGTCATTTAAAGCCACGGAGAGATGACCTCGGATGTCGTTTCGCCGCAGCAGCGCGCTCTCGAACTTGATCGGTTCTCGTTTCAGGATAAATGTCAGCCGACCAAAGGCTGGACGCTGCTTCGGAGACAGAGTGGGATGAAACGGCCTCAGAAAATCTCTCAGCACGGATCCACATTCAGCTTGAACAAGCCTCAGAAAGTGTCCAAACATGTAATTTTTTAATGACAAAAATGAGGCGCTTAACTTTTATTAAACAGAACAGTATTTTTTTTTCCAGATTGGAATAAAGAAAAAAAACTTGCAGCAGGAAATTATTATTGATAGCTACATTAAAAAATATATAAATTTCCCGTATTCTCCGGCATATAAGTTGCAGTTTTTTTGCATAATTTCTCAGTTCTGCAACTTGTATACATTTTTTTCCATATTCCTAACACAATTTTTGACTGATATTTAAATTTCTAAGTCCTGCAACAGCGAGTCCTCCAGTGCGCACTCGCTTCACTCAGCTGGTGCAGGCAGAAGAACGCTGGAGAGCTAGCAGCTCCGGCCACGATGGACGGATGGCGCCGTGCCACCTAGCCCTGTCACGATAACAAATTTTGCTGGGCGATTAATTGTCTCAGAAATTATTGTGATAAACGATAATATTGTTTGAAATTTAACAATAATTAATTGTCAATTTTTAGAAGAAATGTTGATTTGTTTGGAGTGCAGTACCTTTTTTGACCACCTGATGGCAGTATAAGACTGTTTGAACCAAAGGATGGATAACAAAAAAGGTTGAATCATGTCATCTGGACTTCGTTTTTTTGTTAAAAAGAAACGTTTCGCCCCTCACCTTTTTTGTTGTTATATACCTGGATGACTGAGAAAACAAACTTTGTGTTTTTGAAACCATTAGTGAAAAGGCCAGACTTCAGGGGTATCTGAGGCAGGCTTGAAACACAAGAGTCAGGGTGGCTTCTGGGTAATACCAGATGGCTAGGCCTCAGACTGACGAAGCCTCTTGGATGAGGGGCGAAACGTTTCTTTTTAACAAAAAAAACGAAGTCCAGATGACATGATTCAACCTTTTTTGTTGTTATATACCTGGATGACTGAGAAAACAAACTTTGTGTCAAAGAATGGATAGTTGAGCAGCGTGTCTCTTTAAGAAAAATGGGAGGGAGGGCCCTTGACATGACATGGGCTGACATGTCACCACATGCATGTTGGACACTGTAGTTTGAGCTCTTTAGCATAGCATTTTTCACACAAAGCTTTTAATTTAAAAATATCAGGAAACAAGTTCTCAGCTTCTTTTTGCAGAGAAAACAAATTTTTACACGAAGGCACGAGTTTCAACCGTGAATAGGTTTATTCCCAAGATCGGCCTGTTAGCTTAGCTCGTAGCTTAGCTGCTTTTAACTATCCAAAAACGCGATTTTGGACGGTTATAATGGATTTTAAAGAGACAGGAGGGGGGTCCGCAAAGAGCATCGGAGTTGAGCTTTTTGTCCTCCAAAGTTTCCAGTAGAAAGAGCGACACGAAGAAACGATAAAGCCGGTAAATGAAAATGAGGTTGATAATTTTCATTCATCATGTGATTAATTGATTTATTGTTTATCGTGCCACCCAGGCGAAATGAAGCGGTTTTGACCATTAAATAAACACATAATAAACGGGTCAGCCGTGACACATAATAAATGTGACTTATATGTTGTTGTTTTTTCCTCTTCATGATGATTTTTTTGACCGATGTGACTTATACTCAGGAGCGACTTTTACGCTGGAAAATACGGTAATAATGTTATAATATTGATTAAATGCAATTTATGTGCTAAAGGGATCAAGTAGACTGAAGCACAAAACCAATAACTGAAATAGATTTTTTTTTTAATTAAAGTATTTAATATTAAAATGCAATTATAGTAAACTGGTAATCCAACAATATGTAAAAATCATTCTAAATAAAACTGCCTTGTCTTTATGTGGTAGGAAAATGTGAAAAACAAGACTTTTTAAAATTTTGCTCTGAATATTTAATTTTTAAAGTAAAAACATCAAATCTCAACTACTTTAGAGCAAATTTCTGTTCCATAACAAATTGTTTGAATTTGCATTGCCTTTGCTGCATGGGCCTCAAAAAGAAAAGAAAATGTGAGCAATATATATATAAAAAAAAATGAATCTTTATTTGCATAAACATTAAAATTTATAAATAAAAATCGGAGGACAGCTTTTATTTTCTTCTCTATGAATTAAAACAACTTCCAACATTTATATTTATCCACAAAAAAAGATGTGAAAAGAAAAACTGCACTGTATTATTACATTCTGTGCAAACACATCCCAGTAAAAGTATTTTGATACATGGCCGGATTGGTTTTTTGTCAATCCTGTAGTGTCAATATAACTGATTCAAACCTCTGCAAACTACCAGGTTCAACTCTGTAGGAGTTTTAGTATAAAAGACACTTCCTGGTTTGAGTCTTGAATGAACAAGGCCTTAACAAAATCCCTCAGGGGGAAATGAAGTTTGCATAGTTCTCTGTGAATGCGAGCAGCCCAGTGTGGTGTACTTCAGGTGTTTTTCCCCCTTCCCAGCAGGTATCTATTGTTAGGGTGTGAGAATGAAACCATATGGCCCTGACGATCAGAGGACGGAAATAAAAAGAGGTCAGAGACGCAGCAGCATTTCCTCAATTCTGTGACTACATCAGTGGCGAGGCTGCGCTGGTTGCAGAACCCCTGATCAAAACCTACTTTACCGTCAAAACAGACCGATGACACCAGACGAGTGGGTCACACAAGAAGGTCCGATGAAGCTGCATGTGGAGACTGAGCTGTCTGGGTTGTGTGCAAAAACACAAAAAACAAAAAAGGTGCTGTTTCATTGAGTCAAAGTGAAAAATGAACAGCAGCAAAAATGCCACTTTGCCAAAACTTCAGGTTTTTTTTTTCCTTTTAGAAATGTAGTTAAAAAATAAATAGGATAAACACACAAGAAAAGTGATAAGCTTGCAAATTGTGGGAATCACACAGACTGTTCTGTCTTGATAAACAAGTTCCGTAGATGTAAAAGACATGCTACCTGGCAACATGTGCTTTGTGATGCAGCGGGGGAAGTCCAGGCCTATCTGTTTCACTTCTGTTTTCTGACTGAGGCTGACTGTCCATGTCTTGATGAATGTGGACAAAGTTCACTACAAGCCTTGCATGTCTCACACTATGAAATCCCCTTAAACACCAGCAGCAGCAGAGCCTCTGAAAACATCCTCACAGTAATCAAACACAGCTGACTTCCTCATCTGTGAAGGAATTAAGGCACACGGTTGGTGCTGAGTTTTGGAGAGACAAAATAAAAAGCAAAATATTACTTAGCCCTTATGTTTTTAATGCATCTTATAGTTATGTTTTTAAATCTGTTTTTCCCATCAATTTCATCTCATGCAGTCAATCAGAAAACAGTAAAAGTTACCAACATTGAGAAGTTTATGGGCAATCAAAATTGTCCACACTTTTGACAGCCTCAAGCACGTGAGATATTATTAATAATATTAATAAAAAAATAAATAAAAACCTACGTGTCTCCATCCTCTGTGATGGTCGTGAGTAAGTTCTCCTCTGCAGAAAGTTCACAGCTCTGTTGCTCCTCTGTGGAGCTGGACAAAGTGCAACCCTCCACGATCTCTGTCAGACTCTCCACCGTGATGGACGACGACCCGTAGGCCGAGTCCAGGCGCTCCTCCGCGGTGGAGAGCTTGTCCCTCGGCCCGCTGAAGTCCCCGCTCGGCTCCCGGGGCTCCTCCGACTTCAGTATGGAGCGGAACGAGTCGATGCCCGAGTCCATGCGCGTGTCCTCCAGCAAGTCATCCTTGCTACAGTCGCGGCTCGCCATGGTCGCCTCCCCGGGGTTTGCCCCCCTCCCGCCCTTCCCCCGAAAATCTAAAGGCTTTTAGCGGGTGCTGTCGCCGCTGGTGCCTCGGCGGTGCGACCGAACTGCCTGCTAGCACCCGAGGAAACCGCCGCTCCTTTGTGAGACCAGAGGACCGAGCCGCTGCGTGTAATCATGCCACTAACCGATGGTACTTCCCTTCGCAGTAACACAAGCGCTCGAGTCGGTTTTCATCGGTTGTTGCGGTGAACCGTCTCCAAGCATGACCGTTACCTTCAAACTCAAGAAGAAGAAGCGGACAGAGGCGGCAAAACGGCGGCTACCCGTCGACTAGATATCCGGTAACATATAGCCCCCAAGCGGAGAGCATATGAGCAATGAAAGGCGATAACCTGACATGAGCTGTTTTTGTCACGCGGGGGAATCCCCAGTGCGCGCGAACAGACACACACACACACACACACACACAAAGTGTGCGCGCGCACTTACGCAGAAGCTCCTGAGAGAGCGTAAAGAACACAGTCATGGCGGAAATGTCAAATTTTCAAAATAAAACTGCAACGGATGTAGTGTCACATTTCTTGACCTTTCTTATTTAAAGTCACAGACTGTAAAGTATAATTACTTATTATTATATTTAGGGATATATTGGTTTATTAAAAAGGATAATCTTAATATCCTTTCATAAACCAATATATCTCTAAATATAATAATAAGTAATTATACTGTACAGTCTGTGACGTTAAATAAGAAAGGTGAAAAAAGGAGACACGCTACCTCCATAAAGGAGGTAGTAATATCTATCTATATATATATATATATATATATATATATATATATATATATACTTTTAATCACAATTTTATTTTCACTCGTTAAAAAAAATGGTAACACTTTAAAATAAGGGACACAAAATTTGCTTAACTACTAGGAAACACATCAGGAACAAATCAGGAGCTAATGGGTAGTTAACCCGTATTTACTGGGGAACACACAGCCAAGCCTTGTTAGTGGACTACTGCTTAGTTACCTTGTAAATGAAGAAGAACTAATCAAGAACTATAGTTATCAAGGAAACCAAAGAGGAACGAATCAGGAGCTAATAATAAATAATACAGTGCTATGTGTTGTCATTATTGTATGTTCCCATACAAAGATGAAATTGGCTCTCTGCTTTTGACCTATCGCACCTGGGATACACCATGGTGGAGCAGTGGGCAGCTATGTAGGCTGCCTGAAGAGCAATTCGGGATTGGGTATCCTGCTCAGGGGCACCACGACATGTGCAATGACCAGGGATTGAGCCCAGGGCCTTTGGGTCCTGAGTCGGCTGCCCTGCCCCTACACCATCTCCGCCCGTACCCTTAATGGGTAGTTAACCAGTACTTAGAACACACACCCAAGCCTTATTGGAGGACTACTGGTTTGTTACCACAGAAACAGAGGAGAAATTCTCCATTTGAATTCTGAATAAACCCTGCACCAGTGAGGTCACAGCTCGTAACTGTCAAAAACCTGTTTCCTAGTGATAACTGATTTTATTGGATTCTTACCACTGATTACCAATTTCATAATCTTGTACTGCTGTCATCTTAATGGCTGACTATCACTTACTGAGTACCAAATCATTGCCTGGATATTGTTTTGTTCAATGAAGCAACATCATACCAAGTACTGAGGAACCATCCATCCATCCATTATCTTTACCCGCTTGTTCCATTTTGGGTCACGGGGGTCGCCGGTGCCCATGTCCAGCAATCACTGTGCGAGGGGCGGGGTACACCCTGGACGGGTCGCAAGTCCATCACAGGGCCACATAGAGACAAACAAGACAAACAAACATTCACTCTCTCACTCACACCTAGGGACAATTTAGAGTTACCAATCAGCGTAACATGCATGTTTTTGGTCTGTGGGAGGAAACCGGAGTACCCGGAGAAAACCCACGCATGCACGGAAAGAACATGCAAACTCCACCCAGAAAGGCCCCTGGACCGGGATTTGAACCAGGGACCTGCTCACTGAGAGGCAGCAGCTCTACCAGTTGCGCCACCGTGCTGCCACTGAGGAACCAATAATTACTTAATCACTACCTGACCATTACCTACTGTTTGCTCCTGATTCGTGCCTCTTTGGTTTCCATGGTAACATTAGTTCTTGATTTACAAGATAACTAACCAGTAGTCCCGTATTAAGGCTTGGCTGTGGGTTCCCCAGTAAGTACTGGTCAACTACCCATTAGCTCCTGATTCGTTCCTGAGGCGTTCCCTAGTAGTTGATCAAATTTTTTGTACCTTTTTTTTAAAGTATTACCAAATTCAGGTCTCTCTTGTAAATGAGTCCCCGAGGATCAATGGGATTAACCTGTATAAATAAAGGTTGAATAATAAAAAAAAAAAATTGGTTTATGATTTAATTTCTACCTCTGTGACAGCAGCACAGATGCACATTTTATTCTTTAGTAAACACCGGAAGTGTTACGTTTTTGTCCGTCACTGCATGGTAGTAACTTAATGTCAGTTGCACTATTATCCATGGAACAAAACAAGGTATTATTATTGTTTTTGAGAGGCTACCAAAGATAAGTTTGATTTGTATGAGCACTGTCTCATAAATCATGTTATACGATATATTTAAACAAAGATTTAGCTGGAGAGCATTTGCTCCACTCTGCCCTTTGAAAGACAAAGCTCAGAGGTGGTTTTGTGTCTCCTCCTGAATATAATAAATTAAATTGAATGCAGGAAACAATAATACATGTAAGTCAAACATCAAATAGATGCAAATCCCAAAATATCTTTTTTTTTTTTTTTATTTAAAAATGCTTGATGTGCTTTGGCCTTTAGAGGGCTCACTTACACAGTTACTGCTCTGCTCTCAGAGGGCCAGATTAACAACCAGTTCAATTTATAAAACAATACTGGCTGCCAGTGAGACATCTTTATTGCTGCCCAAGACCTGCCACCTGTTTTCATGTCACCTACTGTTGTTTGCCCGCTCCACCTTCTGCCAACAGTCCAGTCCAATGTCCACACCGGGTGCATAATGACGAACAGGCTTGTCATGCAGGACTGTGAGGAAATGATTTTGTAAACAGTGCACAAAGGCAGGAATGAAAAATATGCGTTCACACGTGCATAATCTTTTCCGTGTCAATTCCACATGGCGCAAAGAGATTACGTTGTCTCGTCAAAAACTTACAGGGGTCACGCTGTGTATCTCTTGTCACACTATTATGGAAGGCGACAACATTCATGGAATTTGACATTTGATTACTGGGAATTTAATGTTTTGTGTGTCGGCCCTCGGTGAAGGAGTGAGGCACTCATATGAGCACAAGGGTTCTTTATTAACGTTAACACAAGAGAAAGTTGCTCCCACTTGTAAAATGATCCAACCGTTTCTGGTCATTTATTTTTAAAGAAAAGTGAAAAGAAGTTTCAGATGGTTTCATCAGAAGAGAAGGTAAAAATGTAATGAAAATGATTTATATTGTTACGTATGTTTTATAGTTTATGCATGAGGATCAATCTTCAGTTTGTTTCTGTCAGGCTGTCTTTAAGTTTGCTGTTTGCAAGAAAGACACAAGTGCTTAGTTGCCACGGTGACCACACTGCTGCGCTATTATTAGCAGCTAAAACATTTATTTTGATGTTGGTTCTTGTTACACAGCTTACAGTTTATGCATCAAAATGTTCTTCAGAGTAGAACCGGGTAATTAAATTCCTCACGGGGGTGCCACAGTTACTGGAAACCAACAGCTCAGGGGCCAGACACCCAGTATTGTCATCACTTAAATGTAATTTATAATTTAAAATCTATTACTGTTTTTTTATTAACTCATTGGCGGGTGAACTGAGAATAGCCCCGTCACCAATTATCTGATTACTTTGTCTGAAATATTGGTCATTTCAGAATGTTTTTACATTTTATTTGTCAGGTTTAAAATCTAGTTTTATTTTAAATTAACTCAGCGCTGGGCCATAATGAGCTCACCAGCGGGCCGGATTTGGCTCGGGGGCCGCTAGTTGAATAGCCAAAGCTTAGATATAACACAAAGTTGTGTTGGAGTTTTAGGCAGTACAATTGCATGGTAGACTTTAAAATGCCTTCAGAAATGTTTTAGCTATTTTGAGTTGCTCTGCTTCAAAAACTACAATGCACATTTTTCTCTTCAGGTGATCGAAAGAGCTGATATCCCTGAAAAGTTTATCTTTATTTGTGAACATTTTGGTTTTGAACGCAAACATGCATTTAAAGATACCTTTAAAAGACTCTATTTTAATAAAGTATCAATGAAATATTCATCCAAAACTCCTCAACGTGGCAAATGTATTGTGGTTGCAGAGCAACCTGCAGAGGTTAATGAGCCTTGTGTAATGGCAGTCCACTGGGTGCCAGCCTTGGGCCTGTGTGGCTGCAGCACATCATGTATTTAATGGGTTGCAGAGGGAGGTTCCGCTGGACTTGTGTGTCTTACAGCTCACACGTGCAGCTGTGTGTCTCTTTGTCCTGATTCACACTGTCTTGGCTGTGGTGTCAGCAGGAGCACGAGCTGACTGAAGGGCAGAGCGTCTCCTGCCGCACGTCGCCTTTATCGGATCACTGCACAAGCCTTCGGTCGGTGCGCAAAGATCTGATTCTCTTTCAGCAAACAAGCCCGCCTGGAGGAGGAAAGAGGCTCAGAGGATGCGTCTTTTCAGCCTCGAGTCCCTGCAGGACTGGACTGTGTTTAGATGACGCGCAGTGGGGGGGTCTCCGTGTTTATGTTTCGCCCTGTTTTGGAAAACACCCACCCCAAAGGGAGATCCATGCGCCGTTTCTTTGTGTCACTCTCATCATGTCCCCAGCATCATCGGCTGCAACGGCCAGCGAGAGCAGCGCCGTCACCTCAGCCCCCGAAGAGGAGGCGGACAGTCCCAGGGAGGAGGTAAGGACCAGATCTCCCCACACAAACAAAATGGGAGGCGAGTTGAGCCCCTTTTAACTGAGGTGGTGCAGAGCTTTGTGCCCTCAAAATCTGGTTTTTGTTACTGAATGTTTGAAATGGCTTTAAAAGACAACTCCAGTATGGTGAATGGATCTGCTCCAGTCTGTCTGGTGTGCAAAATGGGGTTCAGGGACCCATTAAGGGTCATGGAAAGGGTCCAGCTGCACGACTCAAATTGCAAAAATAGAAAACAAAGAAGCAAGAGCAAAATCTGTGTGGGTTTCTTACAGGCTCAGACAGTGATTTTTTTAATGAGGGCATAAAACAACAATATTGAACTCTGCCACTTTGCAGGAAATACACATTTGGATATAAATAAAGTTCCAGTGTCTCTTACAGGCACTCAACTCAAACACACGTTCTGGACAAGTTACACATCCATTATACAAGAGGCTTTTTATGTTGGTCTTATTCTGTCAAAAGTATCTGTGAGTGTCAGGGGGCATTTATTTAAAGGCATAGACATGACTTTTTTACAATTTACAGATCTAAATTAGTTAGGACTTTTATATCAGCAATACAATGACAGATTTACCTCACACTATTTTAAAATGTTGCTTTTGTCATTAGTTTGTACTAAATAAATCAATAATAATTAGTGTAGAGGCAGTCTGAAAACCCAGCAGTGCACATTTCGATCAAATTGCAAATGCGAATGTTCCACTGTGACTCCTCAAATCTGTTGGTTTTCCTCGACATCTGCTTTACTATTTTGGCAAAGAAGTGTATCGTCTTGGTCTAATGCATCAGAAATGTGTGAACTATAAAAGTGCTCATGATGAGTCCCTCCCTTTCTTCTCCACAGACCTACAGCTTTTCTGAGGCAGGGAATATTTAATTGGTGCTCAGACAAACATTTAGTGGAATAATTTCACTTCTGCATGCAGATGTATTTGCACACACCGGAACAAACCACAGCTGACGTGTAGGATAGTTGAAGAATATCTTCTTATTCAAAAATGTCTGCTGTTATTCTTGCTGCTTGAACAGCCTGCATGTAACGTGAGCCACAAAGTGTGTCATGTTGTATTGATTAAAGTTGTCGAGCAAGCACAGTGTGCAGGTGAGCACCAGTAAATCCTCCTCCTGCAGTCGGTTTGTCTCAGTGGGAAGATTCAGTTTATATTTCTCCTCTCGTGGGATGTAGACTTTGGTTGGCAAGAGACTTGAAGACCAAGGTGTCGAGATAATTGTGGAGAAAGCATTTATTATTTATGTTTGTTTGTCACCCAGAGAGCACAGAGTCAGCATGTTGGATTCAATACAATGCCATGGTGCTGTCTGACTAAAAAAGACGATGTAAATGCTCCACTGTGAGGTTTTATGTAAAGTCTTCTGCCCTGTCTCTGTGCTTCTACAGTGCGACTAGCTCTTGAGTTGTTGTTGTTATTGCACCCACTGGGGCCTGCAGTGCCCCGAGGAGATGAACAATGGCATCAGCTTTATGCAGCCAGCGTCAAATGAATGTTGTTTTCCTTTATCCCTGACTCTACCTCGGCTGAGCTAACCCTTTCTTTACACAGTAAAGTTTAATGATAAATATGAAATGATAATTACGGTGGCTGTGAGGTGTAAATGAAAAACATTTAAAAAAACAGAATTACATTTGAAAAAACAGAACTACATTTCAAAAAACACAACAAAAACACAACAACATTTGAAAAAACAGAATTACATTTGAAAAAACAGAACTACATTTAAAAAAACACAACAAAAACACAACAACATTTGAAAAAAACAGAATTACATTTAAAAAAACAGAATTACGTTTGAAAAAACAGAATTACATTAAGCCAAAGTGGAAGTGGCCAAAGTGGAAGTGGCCAAAGTGGAAGTGGCCAAAATCACATTTGAAAAAACGGAATTACATTAAGCCAAAGCAGAAGTGGCCAAAGCAGTGGCCGGAATCACATTGGGGGGTGGGGGGGGTGGAGTTACATTAAAAAAAAAACGGAATTACATTTGAAATAACGGAATTAGATTAAACCAAAGTTTAAACCAAACAAAACCCATTAAGCCAAAGCGGCAGTGGCCAAAGTGGAAGTGGCCGGAATCACATAAAAAAAAAAAAAACATAATTACATTTGAAAAAACAGAATTACATTTGAAAAACAAAATTATATTTGAAAAAAAAAAAGTAATAAATAAACGTAATAAATAAATAATTTAATAAAATAAATAAACAAGCAAACAAAAAAAAAAACACTAAAAACGAACCCTACCATTTCTGGTTTGGATTAATGTAATTCCATTTAATCAAATGTAATTCCGTTTTTTTCAAATGTAAATCCGTTTTTTCAAATGTGATTCCATTTTTTTTTTTTTTTCAAATGTGATTCTGGCCACTTCCACTTTGGCCACTTTCGCTTTGGCCTAATGTAATTTTGTTTAAATTTTTTTTTTTAATTTTTTTTATGAAATTCTTTTTTTTTTCAAATGTAATTCCATTTTTTCAAATGTGAATCTGGTCACTTCCACTTTAGCCACTTTCGCTTTGGCCACTTCCGCTTTGGCTTAATGTAATTCCGTTTTTTTCTAATGTAACTGTTTTTTCAAATGTTGTGCTTTCATTGTTTTGGTTGCGTTCTTTGAAATGTAATTTTTTTTTCTTCAAATGTTCATTTACACCTCACGGCCACTGTAGCATATAGTCTAAACATGAGAATAACTTCAAAATAAACAGAATAATCTAATGCATGTTACAAATTAGGACTTCTTTCAAGGATTTAAATATAGTTTAGTGGAACTTTCAGTTCCCACAAATAGCCTAAATAAACTTACAAACTTTGACAATATGCTGCTGCTATCTGGCAGCCATTTTTTTAGTTCCTGCTGAAATGTATTTGTTGTATTTTCTTCTTTTTGTGCCATTTTACATATTTCTCTACAATCTGCATTTTATCCTGATGCATGCTCAATGATCCAAGTAGAAAAATCTAACAAAGTCAAGTCAGGTCCTCTGGACGGATTCTTCTTCTTAGAACATTTAGTATTAAATCTAAGAGACGTCATCAGTCAAAATTTCAACAACAAGAATCCATCCAGAGGACATGACTTTATTTTGCTAGAATCTGCATTTAAGTTAACCATTTTCCTTGAACTTCCTCATTGGTCATATCTAGATGGAAAGATGGAGACAGGTTGAGTTGCACTTGCTTGGCTTGACGCTTGAAGCTTCTAAAATGGGAGATTTCTACTTTCATCACACCCACTGCATCCAAGAGGAATTAAAGAAAAGCATCTCTAGACTTTTAAAACATAAAACCCAATAAAAATGTGATGCCTCACCCTTAAAGTTGAATAAATTAAAAAAGGTGAAAAAGAAATGAGGGTGCACTGTTTACAACAGTAATAAAACAGCAGTTCACATCTTATATAGTTGCTTTATATGTTACCATTCGTCTCGTCTTTCTGCAGTTTGAAATATTCCAGTGATTATAAAAAGCACGGATCAAGACATGAGCAACTTGCCTTAGACTCATGCATAAACTATACAAGAGCACTTATGGAACAGAAATTGTCTTAAATATTTTATTTGTACGAGCCACTGCTTTATAACTTTATATCTAGCAAGTACTTATCATATTATCACTTCTTGTTTAATATTGCACTCATGCAGATAGATGTCTGCTGTATTTTCTTTCCATCCTGCTGACTTCTTGTGTTTTTTCTCATTGTTTTGCAGCAGCATCCTCAGAAACAGTCTCTTGCTAAATCCTTGTGTCAGGAAACCCACTGGAAATGTCTGCTGCTGTCCATGTTGATGTACAGCTGCGTCGGGGTGATGACCTGGTGCCAGGTGACCAAGGTCACACGGCTCTCCTTCGACAGTGCTTACAAGGGAAAGTCTATGATGTACCATGACAGTCCCTGCTCCAATGGATACATCTACATCCCTCTGGCCTTCCTGGTCATGCTCTACGTGGTCTACCTGGTGGAGTGCTGGCACTGCTACGCCAGGAATGAGCTGCAGTACAAGGTAGATACGAACAGTGTAAGTGAGCGCATACAGCGAATGCAACAGGCTACGCCCTGCATCTGGTGGAAGGCCATCAGCTATCATTACGTCAGGAGGACGCGGCAGGTGACACGTTACCGTAACGGAGATGCCTACACTACTACGCAGGTCTACCACGAGAGGGTGAACACGCATGTGGCTGAGGCGGAGTTTGACTATGGGAACTGTGGTGTTAAGGACATCTCTAAGCAACTGCAAGGCTTGGAGGGATTTACTATTACTAGACTGAGGTTCACCAAGTGCTTTAGCTTTGCCAACGTGGAGTCAGAAAACTCCTACCTGACCCAGCGAGCCAGGTTCTTTACAGAAAATGAGGGCCTGGACGACTACATGGAGGCTCGTGAGGGGATGCATCTGAAAAATGTTGACTTTAAGGAGTACATGATTGCCTTTTCTGACCCCAACCGTGCTCCCTGGTATGCTTCCAACTCCATTTTCTGGGTGGCAGCTGCTTTCACCCTTTCCTGGCCTTTGCGAGTGCTGACAGAGTGCCGCACCGCCTGTGTGCATTACCACGTAGAGAAGCTGTTTGGCTTTGACTTTGTGCCAGTAACACCATCTGAGGAACGTCCATATTGCAGACACATCCCGCGAGTGAACACAATCGACAGCACAGAGCTAGAGTGGCACATCCGCTCCAACCAGCAGCTGGTGCCCAGCTACTCAGAGGCAGTCCTGATGGATCTGGCGCAGCTCTCTGGGAACGGGAACAGCTACTCCGTATGTGGGCGGTACGGCAGCTACAGGCAAAACTGCGAACGCTGCCATCGCACCATAAGCAGCTCCTCCATCTTCTCTCGCAGCGCCATGAGCATTTGCAACACGGCAAGTCCTCGCATCCCCTTCAGCGCCAGCCGCTTCTCTCTGGGCCGGCTGTACGGCTCCAGGCGGAGCTGCCTGTGGAGGAGCAGCGGGAGCCTGAACGAGCGGTCCTGTCCCAATGAGAGCACTCGTTGTCTGTCGGGCCAGCAGACCAGTGAGGAAAACCCACCAACCTATCAGGATGCTTTGTGCTTTCCGGTGCTCATCGTACATCGCAACGAAGGATGCCTCAATCACGACCACCGCTCACTGCACAGGAACGGCTCCTGTGTGGAAACTTCACTATGACCCACAGCAGTCACCCTCAAAGAGACAAACTAAAGCTGAGAAAACTTCTTACTTCTGGCATGAGCAGTTGCAGGATTGTTTTTCTCACACATAAAAATAAAGACAATCCATCTTTATAGTACAACAAACACAATTTGTTTAAACTTTAAAGATGCTGAAACATCCTGCTACCGAATGCCATAAAAGTGAATGAGTAACACTTCCATGCTAAAAATAGACTTTGACTCACTGGGAAACTAAGAAGCTGATAAGAACTGAAAGAGATGTGATAATAATGGCAGTGAGAAATACAGAACTGAGGAAATTTACAGAGACGCACACATCACACAAGCCATGTGACGTGTGTGAGTCACGAGGAAAAATGCAGTCTCCTTATCGAGACTAACAAGTTGCTCTGAAAAAAGTTCAAATAAAATGAAATGGTTCCAATTAAGTTTTTTCACATGGTGCCACAGATAAAAATCCAAAATCTGCATGTAAGAAAATATTCTGGTTGTGGCCACTTGAAGTGTTAAAACTCATGGAAATGTATTGTAAAGCAAAACACTTGGATTATCTTCTGGAGATAAAAGTGGAAAACAGCTTGCTTGCAGTGACATTATCCTCCCTTCCTTGCCAAATATAGCACGGGAGGAACATGAATAATTTAGTTCAGCAGAGCTAAAGGACACAAAAACTCAAAACAGAATCTTTAAAGACTCACTCAGATGGTTCAAACTGGATCCTCGCGGTAAAGACCAAGTATCAATTTATCTGGTTTATAATCTTTTAAATATTTTTAATTCCACTTTTTTGCAGTATTCTTGTTCGGCCTACCTCTTTATTTAAGTGCCTCGCATCAACTGTTACTGAGAAGCATCAGCTATCACAACCTAAATCATCTCAATTCAACAACTTCCTATTGAAGCAGGAGAATAGTAGCACATTGTTTGTAAAAAAACAACAAAACTGTTGTATTTTTTATTGTTATTATTCAAAGTACATTTGTTCTTTTGGATAAAGTCAAAAATGTTTTTCAGATGATTGTTCCTTAGGCCATAAATTGATTAGAAATTCATTTTTTGATAAAACATATTAAATGGGAAACTGTACTTTTGCTGCCACTGATGCATATCAGAACGACAGCCAGAGAGCTATAGGACAACAGAAACAGGCAGAGGCCTGGATTTACCCCTGACACTGTCAGATTCAATAAAATGACAGGAATTCTTTAAAAAGCTAAAAACTATGTCTTCTCCACCAAGTGCAGGAGTCTTAAGACAGTTTTTACTTTGCAGCTAGGCCAAGCACAGTAGACGCAATGATTAAAATCAGACCCACAACAACTGCAACAAGAATACGTAGCTTTGCAAAAGTAAAGTTGAGCTAATTTTTTTCAGCCCGCAGCTCAACCTGTTGCATAAAGCTACACTCATGACCCACTGTAAGTGCTTTTGGACACACTAGTCACAGTGGCTGCAGGGAACAGGAGATCACTGACGAACAGTTTGAGGAATAGTAGACTTGTCTAGTACAGACTGCATGCCTGAATTGCTTGAGTTTGGGAGGAAATTGCGCCATTAGCCCGTGGAAAATGCATGACAAATGTGATCTGTGCGAGAGGAGTGTATGAGACTTGCAGTCAACATGTCTTACATACCTAGAGTACAGACTGCACATATGAAGCAAGTGCTTACGCTAGTATGTGACCTCACATTCTGACATTGGGTGTTCATTAATTAGCAAAGCCAGTAATGCTTGTGCCATTCCTCAGCTTCCATCATCCATCTATATACGGTAGGTGCATACACTCGCAGGTATGGTAGTGGAATGACAGTAGACATTTCTTCTCTTTACAATGCTGCATGCTTAGGTCCTTTATACATATATATATACATATATAT